ACTGTCGGCCCAAAAATCGGTGGGCAGAACAATTCCGTTTCCGAGTCATTTTTTAAAACGTTGGATATGACAGTCATCTATAAGCCATATACGTTGTATTTCAGTTATAGCAGTAAAGTTTTCTCCACGAAAACAGTCGTGGAAAATTTTGAAATGGTTGTTTTGAAAACTTACATCTAAATTGAGTCCTAAACTACATATTAATGCAGATAGTAGGTATTTTTGACCATCTGTCCAATTGACAAAATGACAAGTCATATTACTTGGTTGCATTCATCCAATTAGACTAAAACAAATGATACACATTCCGAGTTGATCACATGCTTTTGGCACCACTCTCGATGATTAAAAAACTGAAATTTCAAATGCTTTTGTAGACCAGTCAATGGAAGTGTCTGAAAGAAAATATTAAAGAAAACTAGTTATCTTAGTTCAACTTGAATGAAGATACTTCTATTTCATTTCTTTATTGAATTGAAATAAATTCTGGAAAATAGTTGAAATGTTAGCTTCAAAATTCTAGTCTTCTGGTCTGAATGAAGTGTTCCATATTTGATGTTGTCATTTTAATTTTCTCTAGTCTTGTGTGTTAGACTAGTTAAGCTTCCTCCACATGCAAGGGACATGGAGGGTCACATTATTTTTCCCTCGAAAATGTTCTCTTTAGATAATAATTCTAAGATAAATGTGTGATACAAAAGTTGCTAGATGGCTTAGCTAGTAATATTTGGTGGAAATAGTTGCCACTTGTCACTGACTTGAAAACTTGTGTGACCATGAATTATTCGGAGGTTGTAAGATTTTGTTGCGGCCATGGTTGCAGCAGATGCAGAAATTCCACTCCCAGGTCAATGCTTTTGATTGTCTAGACTCTGCCTTTGGTGGGAGGTTAACCTGTGTTAGGAGGGGCAGGGTCGTGGGGATGAACTCGAATTTGAGCTCGGGTAGGTTCTGATTCGAGCTCGAGTAGGTTTGGTTCATTATCGAGTTTAAGCCGAATCGAGCTTGAATATAAGTGCTTTTTATTTGAGCCGAATTTAAACTGATATTTCTAGTTCGAATTGAGTTTGAGCCCGAATTCAAGCTTGATGTTTTATTGTCAAGCTGAGTTCAAATAGTCAAATATTTGGATCGGCTCAGCTCGTATCCACCCTACCGATTCGGTTTCAAAAATTAGCACACAACTGTTAACCAAATATAAGCACCCCTATTAATGATTGGCTTAATCTGTTAATCCGTTCTTCATCGGTTAGTTATTTCAATACCCATTTTACAAAAGGGAAAAATGGGTATTTGGAAAAAAAATTATGGACCGGTTAAACGTTTTCCATAAGAAGGGAGGTTTCTAACGATTTTTTTAAAAGTTCAGGTAAAGTGAAACTACAAGGGAGGGTTTTATGATTGTCAAAAACTATAGGGAAGGTTTTTGTATTTTACCCTAATTTAAAATTTAAATGAGTAAAATCTAGGTCGTGTTGAAAATAACTCAAACCATTTTTAACTATTGGCTCGTAATAGCCAACACAGTAGTGTTTTAGGCAGAAACAAACACCCCTCTTTGGCACCCAACTCGTGCCATCGACCCCGAAGATTCTTTGGAAGTCTGGATACATCCCGAACCATTGGTATTCTTGTCTTTACCCAATAACCAACTACTATGTCAACAAAACACATTTCATGCTAGGAAGTTGGGGTCTCTGAAACTTGGAGGAGAAGTTCTAAGGCGCATCTGATTACACTGTCTTTAGAATGTCATTTGCCCCCATTCAGTTTCATTGAGTTTGATGTTGGGTTACAGGCAAATCCGTTCCCAAGATACAACAAAGCCTTGTGCAAGAATCTGCAACCAGAAAAAGGCACCTTGAACAACCACAATTTCAAACATTGTGACTGTTTAAAAGGTAGTTAACAGTTAATGAATGTTAACTTTGAATTGTGCCTCTTGATCATACCCGATCGAATCGTGGTCGTTGATCACATTAACGGTCAGCATTGCACTAAAACCAAAACCGCCCTTCGTTAGTCACACGGGTGCGAGTAAAGTGCACCTCATTGCGCCGCACACATGCGTTGCGTGATAGCAAGCCTCCATACTCTCCTCTCTTTATCTAAGGAGTGTAAATCAGCTCCTATTAAAAAACACAAAACAAAACTTGTAAGTTTACAATGTAGGACAAGTTAAAACCGGTTTTAGTAAGAGAAGGTTATTTTTCAAAACATGTGTGCAGGTGTGTTTTATCATGTAATTGACCAATCAAACCCCATTGGATTTAATCTCTAATGATATTAAAATCCAACATTTCAATCCCCTACCAACTTGATCTAACACTGTACATGTCAATATGAGACTGAGACCTACCATGTATGAGATGTGTGGTGTGAGAGATTGGGACCTACTATGTATGAGGTGGGTAGTGTGAGTTGTAAGATCATGTTAGTAGGTTGTTTGAATGAATTTTGTCAGCAGATGATCTAGACTCAAAAAATTTACAGATATTGCTTCACAACCGAACATACTATCAATACGAGTGATTTCCATGTTTAGAAAAATAACAGTACAGGCGATATTTACCTAGGATCAAATCCCACTGCCACCAAGGTTGTGGGGTTAAAGGGAGGGGGATGGGTTACTCCCCTTCTCCAGCCCAAGAAATAAGAAATAAAAAAATAAAAAAAAGATAGGGTGATTTCATAGGAGGTGGTTTATGAAAAAAAAAAATCCAAACGGCCAAGTGCTTCTAACCCATACATCAGCAGCACTGTTTTCTGAGAAAATAGTGTCTTTTTTTTTGGAAACATTGCTGCCAGGTAGGACATTTTCTGGAGCAACAACAATGTTTTATGTTTGGTACCAATGCTCTAGGAAACGTTTTCAGCAAGGGTACCCATTATCTAGTGCCCACTGCCACACATCCCTGTTGGCAGCAACGAGTTGCAGCTCCAAGAAACGCCAAACTTGGTGTTACTCTAAGCCATGTCTTCCCGATTTCCAAGGTGTGGCTTGGAGCACTATTTTTTATGGAAAAACAGCTCCAAACAAACAAATGTTCCCTAGAGCACCGTTTTTTCTATTATGGCGCTGATGTGTCGACATTTTCTAGAGCAACGACATTGATGTCAAACAGATATCTAATGGTCTGACATGTGTTTAGGTTCTTTTTTTTTCCTTTTTCTTTTCAATTTTTTGTTTCTTAATTTTATGTAATTCCACGTTATATCTTTTTTTTCCTTTTACACAACAGAAATACCACTTATCATCAACTTAATTCCACGTTATATCCATCAATTTTTAAAGCTTATCTAGAGGTAGAATAGTTTTTGCTGAGTTGTAGGTCATTCATTTGACCATCCAAGTTGAATGGTTTACACCTTGCCACATTGTGGACATTCAAGCGTAAAGTCATGGCCTATGAAAGTTTGAACATACATCGAGTATACAACATATAATCCAACAAACAGATCAAATGGATGAACAGTTGAATCACCTGGATTAAATATTTTTTAGGAAAATTCCCGATTAGTACCCTGTATTTTGGGCCTAGTGCCACTTTGGTCCCTAAACTTTAAAATGCGACAATTCATTATCCAAACTTTCAAAACGTGACAATAGAGTATCTACCATTAATCAGATGTTAACCAATCGTTAAGTGACATTTGAAAAAGACACAAATGCTCTTTAAGTGTCATTTAATTTTCTTTATCAACCATCTAAACGTTGACAAAAAAATTAATAACGCTAAATCCTTGCCTCTTTCATTCAAGAAAGTTGGGGTCATGTTTGAGTGAGCATTCTGGTGACCCCAACTTTCTTAAATAGAAGAGGCAAGGATTTGAGATTGTTAATTTTTTGTCAATATTTAAATGGTTGATAAAGAAAATTAGATGACACTCGAAGGATATTTATATCTTTTTCAAATGCCACTTAATGTCTAGTTAACAGTTAGTTAATGACAGGTATTTAATTGTTACATTTTAAAAATTTGGGTTCTGAATCGTCCCATTTTAAAATTTGGGGACTAAAGCGTCACTAGGCCAAAATTACAGGATACTAATTGAAAATTTTCCCAATTTTTTTTACTAAATCAATGATATTTTACCAAATGACGGATTTAAACGGTTTAGCCAATAGTGATTGGACTTTTCAATACCTTTCCTGCCTTTTTCCTTTTTTTAAATTTTTTATTTTTACTTTTTTATAATCAAACACCCTCTTACATTTGTCATGTGTATCTATATACACCTCATTAAAGCACCAATCAGTGGCCAGAGACTATTTACCTCTCAAATTACCACCACAATGAAAACGTTTTGAAAACAAGAACATTAATTATTTTATAGAATCTGCTTTGTAGGGTTTAATAATCACCTTGGAACGAAACAAATTTAGTCGGGCTCTCCCACAAAACACGCCCCACATGCACCCCACAGATTATTGGTCTGTTTTGGTTTAAGGTCGGAATTGGAATTGGAATTAAAATCCTTCGAAATTAGAATTAGAATCGGAATTAAAATAGTCTATTCTTAAGCCTTTTTGGTTCAGATAAGAATTGGAATGACATTTCATTCTCAAGGAGAATTATGGAATTGCCATTCCCTCAAATAATCAAATAGGGTAATATCATTTCAGTAGAAATGAGAATGGAATTTTGATTATGCCTAATCAAACAGTTGGAATCAGAATAGGAATGTCCTGCCCACACATGCCTCACAGCATGTGTTTCCCATGAAGAATCCAAATCTGCTCTTCAAATCAAACGGGGTTTCAATTGTTTCCAATGAAGAATCCAAATCTGCTCTTCACAGAACATGTATATACACATTTCTAAGATTTTTTTTTTTTTTTGTTCTAATTAATAAACAGTTAAACGACGTTTAATTGAGATTTTGTAAATAGACAGGTGTCCTCCTATCCAAGGAAGGACAACTGTCTATTTAAAAAATTTGTAAAAAATTACATCTCATTGAATATGACATGCTGGAGGTCTTTAAGATGCAAAGACATGCTAGATGATGTAGATGGCATGTCATCAGAATATGACATGCTGGACGATGTACATGACATGTCAGAAGAAGAAGAAGACTACAAAAGGAACACGTCTGAAGATGAAGATGTCATGACAGATGAGGATGATGATTTGACAGAAGATGAAGAGGATTTTCAGGATGATTATACGACAGGGGATGAATTTTCAGATGATGGCATCCCAGAAGATGAAGAGAATATTTCAGAAGATGATATGCCAGAAGATGAAGAGGACTTTCAAGAAGGTAATGTGCCAGAGGATGATTTTTCAGATGATGGCATCCCAGAAGATGAAGAGAGCATTTCAGAAGATGATATGGCAGAAGATGAAGAGGACTTTCAGAAAGATATTGTGCCACGGGATGACTTTTCAGATGATGGCATCCCAGAAGATGAAGAGAGCATTCCAGAAGATGATATGAGAGAAGATGAAGAGGACTTTAAGGAAGATAATGTGCCAGGGGATGACTTTTCAGATGATGGCATCTCAGAAGATGAAGAGAGCATTCCAGAAGATAATATGAGAGAAGATGAA